GTCTCTTCCAACCCTAATGATTCTATGATCAAATAAGAACTGGTGATGCTTAGGTTCTCTTAACCACGGCAAAAGCATTTATTCCAGGAATCACATGTGTTTCTGCTTTAGCAAAATAAAAACATTGTGAAAGGAACATGTTTTTCTCCATTATTTGCCTTGGTTTTGGGCTGTGGAGCACAGTGCTGGGAACAGGATTATTCCTTTTGTGGCGTTCGTAATACTGAAAATCTCCTGGAGCAAAGCCCAATGTCTGACATGCCCAATTGCCTTCTGCAAGAGAGAATGCTTCTAGTAAATTATCTCCAGGACTCTGGCACTGTTGCAGCCCAGCATTCTCTAGAGCCGGGGGCAATATATTTCTGCCTCAAGAGCCATATGGGAGAGAGGAGAGTGAGAACCTAGACAGAGTCTTCCTCTCTTTGTCCTGTCCTGTCCTGGTGAGAGGTGTCTGAGAGTTGTTTTGCCAGACCCTGCTCTTCACCATGACTTTTACAGGGAAGAAAAGCCCCTGGATTTGGCTTGCAGCCCTTCTGCTCAGGGCATCCAATGTAAACATGTGGTTTGATGTTACCAGTAAGCTGATCAGCACTAGATCCCCCTCCCCTGTGTTCTCAGTGATGCTTTTGCCTTCATCAGCCTTGTGATGAGCACTTTGAGAGCTAAACTTACTGAGGGTAGCAGAAGCAGAAGGCTACCTTGAGAGCAGATGGAGTGTAACTGGTATTGAGGCGGGTGGGAGCAGAGAATGCAGAAACCTTGAGAGGCATCAGTGGATCTGAGGGACAAGGGCCATGCCACCAGCATCCCTCTGAGCCACGTTTGCGGTAACCCCCACTGCTTCTCCTCTCCACAGCGTGCTGAAGGAGGTGTACGCCGCCTTCAACCCAGATGCAGTTGTGCTGCAGCTGGGAGCAGACACGATCGCTGGAGATCCCATGTGCTCTTTCAACATGACGCCCGAGGGACTGGGCAAGTGCCTGAAGTATGTTCTGCAGTGGCAGCTAGCAACTCTCATCCTGGGAGGGGGTGAGTGCACGTGTGTCCTGCTGTTCACAAGGAAACAGGTTTGTCCTCCTGTGACCTGTCCTCGAGTGTCTGCCCTCAGGCTCCGCACTGACTGGAGTTTTGCAGGGTGACTGCTGGGTGGCATTGGGAGGGTGCTCTGTGGTGCAGTGCTGTTTTCACACAGACCTGAAATCCTTGATACTGACAGGTGCAAGTGTCAATCCTGACCCTAAAATCATGAGTTAAAGGCTGCATGGCTCCTCCAGAGGAGAGCAGAGGCTGTTAACCCCAATGAACTGACCCTGGCTTCTCAATGGTGCCACTGATTCCCATCTCTGCTGATCAGCCCGTCAGCGCTTCTCTTTAAAAGTAAGCGCTGTGTTCCCAAACCTTCCTTGGGCATCTGGCAATGAATTATTTCACTTGAACTCAAGCAGGGGCTTGGGAAAAGGGCTAGCTGCCTGCACAGTACAGCAGGGCTCTGATACCCAGTGAAAGTTAAGGTTGACTTAGCTCTGCCATGCTGCATAGCCAGCTGCTTGTTCAGCGGGGAGAACACAGGACAGGCTTTATGCAACAGCGTTTCAGAACAACAAAAGCCACTGTGTGCCAGGGAGAGCCCCTCGGCTCTGTACCTGGAGCCGCATCAGCTCTAGCTGTTGTCCTTTTTGAGATGGGGAGATCAGGTAGAGCATGTTAAACCTAAAATTTGATGTTACTAATGCACTTTGCTTTGGAAAAGTTATGAGTGTTCAGTCCTGCTGTGAGATGTCTGTGGGTATGCTGGGGATGGCACCTTTCAGGCAAAAAGAAGCCCCCAAACTTTTGTCAAAAAATGAGGGACAACTATTTGGCACAACTGTCACAAAATACCAAAGGAGTGTCCCACCACTGCAGCTTGTGGAAGCATTTGAAGTGGAAACTGGGGGAGAGGAGTCAATACTTGCAAAAAAAAAAAAACCACAAGCAAACAAAAAAATCCCACAACCAACAAAAACAACCCCAAAACCAACCCAAAGAGAAGGAAATGTTGAAAAATATGGTCTCCCTCTCTTTTCAAAGTGTTTTTTTCTCTTACTATTTTAGTCATCTTTGCTGGAAAAAAACCTTGAGTCTCTTGCAGGATTGCTTTCAGCTAAGGTTTCTCCTTGTGGGCTCATGTACTGTTACCATGAAGGTGACCATTACCATACTGACTGTGAAACCTGATTTCCTTGTAAAGCAGTCACAAGTTGTATTAATGAGCTTCATATTTGTCCTGTCAAACATGACAGTGCTGAAGAGCTCACCAGCCAATGGCTGGGCATGTGTATTATGTTTTACGGGTCAAAGACTGGCATTAAAAAGCAGGAATCCCCTGTCTCCACTGCTGCCCTTGCACTTCTCTGCCTGTTACTTTTGAACACACCCCTCCTTGTTGTCAGGAGAGAGCCCAGCGCATGGAGCTGAGGGCTTGTGCTGTCTGAGATGGTAGCTGGAGGAGCCTGGCCTGTGACACGCTGAGTGTAACTGGGGTTTGGTTTGTGAGGTTTGCCCTTGCATACAGTGTCATTTGGACCTGGCCTCATGTAGCCAGCAGGTGCAAAATGCAGTTTTTGGGCACAGCTTGAGTGGATGAAGTAAGCTGAATTCATGTAAACTGCGCATGTTGCCTCTGTGTTTTATTCCTTCCACTAAAGTCTATCCCTCTGTCTTCCCTTTCCCCACTCTTCCCTCTCCAAAATCACAATTCTTGCTGGAGACAGGAGGCTACAACCTTGCCAACACAGCTCGCTGCTGGACATACTTGACTGGGGTCATCCTTGGAAGAACGCTGTCCTCTGAGATCCCCGATCATGAGGTAAAGCTTTGACAAACCCTCTCTTCTCATTGCTCAAGAGCTGAGTCGTTCTACCTAATCCAAACAGCATCCTTGCTGCTCAATATTGTTTTATTGAGACGCTCCTGTAACAATAATGCACTGTCCTAGCAGCATAGTGAGTGCTTGTTCCCAAAACACAAGGCTGTCTGCATCTTTTTGCAAGGGATCTCGGTCACCAATAAACTTCAGTCTCAGATAATTACAGAGGATGGGGAGGGAGAGTCCTGTGTTTGCCAAAAGAGCTCTTTAGGATGTGCACATACTTTTGCCAGGAAAGAGCCAGGCCTTTCTCAAGGCTTTACATTTTAGCCCGGGTTTCGTCAACTTACAGAAAGTACCAGGTACAACTCTGAAGCTTTTCTGACCAGCAGTCTTGCAGCAGGCCATGGGGCCAGGTACTGTTCGTGATTGCCTGTGAGCTGTCTCAGTTCCAGTGCTGGCACTTTTAAAGTCTTGAGCGGGGCTGGACGGCTGGTTGGGGGACACAATCTAGGCTGAATTTTGGGTGGAATAACTATAGGTTCATAATAGGTCTCAAACCACAGATCAGTGTTGTTGACCATACAGAAAAAAACCTGCAAGTGCCAAGGAGTTCAAGCCTACAGTGACTACAGAGGAGAATTACAGTTTTGCCTGTGTCTAAGGATCTCACAGAGCAGTATGCATGAGGAAGTAAAGTGTTTGTGTGGACTGAAACTGGAAATTCATCATTATAGAAACTGGTGATTACAGATACAAGGTGCGTTTTGAGAGATGTGCTTAAATATGATCCTTTAACTAGGTTTCTGCAGAAGTCGGTTTTAAACAAGACTGTACCTTTCATATATGCGGGAAGTGAAAAGGGTGGGTCACTCTGTAGGAATTAACTGCTGAAGGTGGTTAGGTTTTGCCTGTTTGTTTTTGTTCTGGACAGTTCATTTGTTTTGTTAACGATTCCTGTGCCGAGTGCCCTGAAGGATAAGAGCAGTGTGGGAATGAGTTGGTTGCAGGATGTCACAGGGTGCACAGTGAGGCCCTGCATCCCCTGGCTACTCCTTCTCAAAGGAATTTGTATCCCCTCCTGGGCTGGCCAGCACTTGGGCTGCAGAGCTGAGCTGACTGTGAGCTGTGGTGCTGCTGGTGGCCAGCCTGTTTGGGTTCCCCTTGCAGTGAAACGGTACTTGTGGTTTTGTTTCTGGAGATGAGATTAGCTGCTCAGGGTTCACCCTGGAGATCAGCCCAGCCTGTCTCTTGGAGCTGTGTGATGCAGCACTTGAAGAGGAATGAGCTGGAGGGAGGGGAAGAGTGGGCGACCTTGGATGAAGCAGTCACCAAGTGCTGCTGTTCCCACTTGGGCACCTATAGGAGAATTTTTATGGCAGGCTCGTAAAATCCAGTGCCTGCCATGAGCAAGTGCATCTTGACTTCTGCACCACAGAGAGGGTTTAGTAAGAATTATCTCTGAGGTGGTGATGTTAGCCAGCAAAGCATCTGGTGAGGATCAGGAGCATAGCTGTAGTGCTTATTGAGTGCCAGGTGAAGTGGCTGGAGTGGCAGTTCATCATAGCCAGAAAAGCTCTTGCGGGAATGGAGTTTGCTGGAGCTGAATTGGGAACGAGTCAGAAATCCACAGTGCTCTGCTAGAATATACATCGGATGCACAAAGAATGCGTGGAGACGCTGACATATCCTAAGTTGTCTGATTATTTTAAAGCCTGTGGCCACGTGCTTCATCAAAGATAATAAAGCTGCCTTGGTGATAAGTGACCTTGGTAATAAGAAACAGCCTTGGTGCATGAGTTGAACAGTTCTGAATCAGATACCAACTAAAAGATGGTGATATTCATGTCAGTAAGCAGGGAGCAGCAGCCTGCCTTCAGGGAATCTGCATCTCTTTTGGGACTGGGAAGAAGTGGGTAAGCAAACTACAGTGGAGTTCACATACCCAGGGATGAGGCCCCTCAGTTACCAGGTGGAAGCAGTGAAGTTATGTTTGAACAGCACGAGGTGAAGGACCTCCAGGCATCGCCCTTGGGTAGCATACTAGCCTCTCATTACAGCTCTGCTCCTAAGCAGTAGAAGAGATGAATGTGTGCTCCATGGCTTTGAGGCATTGATGAACTGCTAATTAAAAGGCATTAAGAGGAGTGTTCCCTGTCAACAGGTTCATCCCATTATTATCTGCTACAGAGCCTACTGGTGGTGGGGACTGCCTTGCAGCGAAGGTGAGATGTTGGGCTGTAGTGTGTTACCCGTGTGCATGCAATGCCCTACAGCCGTGTAGGGCTTGCACTGAACCAAGGCACCAGCCGGCTGCCATTGTTGTGTGTTTGCCTGCAAGTGGCCACTGTGGGCTGCTTCACAGTCAGGAAGGTGTGTGTCCCTAATCGGGTGTGAAGTTTCTGCCTCTCCTACAGGGGTGGTAGCTCACGTCCTCTGGCAGGAGATAAAGAACTTCTTTTCTAGCCTCACTAACGACACCAGATGCGACTTTTCATTTACATTTATAATCCTGTTCTGAAATACATTAAGCAGTTTGTATCAACAAGTACCCTGAAAGTCAGAGCCATGGGCTGATGCTTACAGTTTTTCAAAGGATTTCCTTTATCAATTTTAAATGTTTTCTTACCTCTTCCCATCAGCGTTGGTCTGTGTTTTTTAGCTCTTGAACCACAACCAGGATCAACAATTTCTGAAACCAACTGTCTTGACAAGAGCATTGAAGGATCATCTATATTTTCTTTAATATAACTCTGATGCAGTTAGTTGCCCCCTCCCTCCTCCTAAACTGGATTATTTTATAATGCTGAGCATAGTATTTACTTGCCCAGGAGTAAGGATCCCTCTTGTGTTTTCATACTGGATGCGGTGAGGCCATTTGCATTGAAACAGAGGTGTCCAGACTTTGCCCACGGAAGGGATAGGTTAGCAGCTTGCCCCGTGCTGGGAAGTTGTGCCCAGCAGCCATGGGGTACATCAGCCCACGTTTGCCCTCGCACTACTACACACAGCATAACGCTAAAGATGGTGCAATGCGTGGTGCTGAATCTGAATGTCTGCCGTCCCAATCAGATGGAGCATGTTTGCTTTCAACAGTTTTGCTGATCCATGGTGCTTGTGTGCAATCATGCTCTTGTCGTCTTGGGCATGCCAAATGAGACATTTATAAAGTCTCATTAGCCTTGTTTAGTCCCCCCCAAAATGCTCACAAACCAGCGGAGGTAACATTTACAGACTTTGAGCGGGAATGGAGGAAGGAGGGCAGGGAGGGGAGAAACCCAGAGCATGAGACTGATGTCCCTGGGCGTCTTAGTGGACGGTGGGTGTCCATGAGACTTAGGAGGAGCAGCTGGGTTGACTTGGTTTGTTCAGCTTGGAGAAGAGAAGGCTGAGGGGGGACTTCATCGCAGTCTACAGCTTCCTGAGGAGGGGCAGCAGAGGGGGAGGTCCTGATCCCCTCTCTGGTGACCGGCGACAGGACATGGGGAAATGGAATGAAGCGTCAGTGAACTAATGTGAAACACTTTCCTAAACAAAGTTGAGATCTTTTTGTAAGGTGTGATTTCTATGGGATTTACAAAATGAGGAAGGCCGAGGGAGCAGATCATCCTTGTGTGCAGTGTGTGCGACGTGGCCTGACGGGCCCTGGCTTGTCAGGCAGAGCGGTGTGCGCTCAGCCTCAGCCTTCTGGCTCCTGCCCTCCTGAAGGTTATTTACTGGGAAGGAGTTAAATGTTGCTCTGCTTTGCACCCAGCTGGGGAGACTTTGCCTCTGTGCGATGATATGCTAGGGCTGTGCTTGTGGGAATCCTGTTTTGCCTGAGATACTGACTGCGTGTGTCCAGGCAGCAGCGAGCCTGCGGCACGTTCAGTGTTGGGGCCCTGGAGTGGTGCTTGCAGGGCACTTTTCGAGCACGATGTGTTGCATAACACTAAAGGTAGGGTCTTTAAGCCCACTGTTTTTCATTAAAATCCTGCCTACCATAAATGAGGCAGGGGCATTACACCCGAGAGCCCGCTCTGCCACCTTGGCTTGAGTTACCTGGAGCAAGTTCATCCACCTCCTTGAACGAGGGTGTTCCAGTGTCCATAGCACTGAGGTTTCAGGTGATGCAAAGGTCTGTACCCCTGTAATGGACGGAATTCATGAGTGTGCAGCAGCCTCTGTCTGCATCGTCTGAGTTTTCTGTCTTCTGGATACTCTTCAACAGTCAGGGAGTCATAGGTAGGTTATCCCTTCTCATTGCCCCGTAGCCTGTGTATTACAGCATGTAAGTCTTACCGTGTGGAGAAAATGTGGGGTTTTTCTGTGCGAGAGGATTGCTAGAAGATAGCTATAAGGGGGTATATTGGGCTACTAACAGTTACCAGGACTTTCATTTTTAAAAATAAATGAATTGGAAAATTCCCTGCCTCGTGAAAACTGGACATGAAAAAAAATATTTACTTTTAGATATCAAAAGTCCCCTTTCAAAGTAAACTGGCACCCAGTACAGGAACATTCCCTTTTGTTTATGCTCAAGGGCTTTATGTGGTTTGAAATAATGGAAGCAGTTGGGCTTCCACCACTTCCTTTAGGAAAATTTCCACTTTCAAAAAGATTTCTGTTGCAGGAAATGCTCAGATTTTCTGGTTGGTTCCCTCAGTTTGGTTTTGTCTCAGTATCCCCACTGCCACCAGGCTGTTCTTACCCCTACCCTCAGGGCTTAGACCTCTCAGCTGGAGACTCCAGCAGCTCCTCTTGCAGTGTAAAAATTTGGTTCTTCCCATCCTTCTTTCCTTGATAAAGCCTTTTTGACCGACCTCCATTCTCATTGGAAACTGCATCTTTGGGTTTATAGCTTAAATATTTTTCATACTTTGAAATAAAATGGGAAGTAATACAGATGTGCAGCAAACTTGGGAGTGATTTCTCCAGCTGATTTGCACTGGGTTGCTTGACAGTGGTTTGGGTCAGTGCCTCAATGTCTCTTAGAAGAGAAGAAAGTTGGGTTTGGGGTTGCTGTTGTCTCTGAGGTAGAGACAAATGCAACAATTTCTGGTTACTTGGACCCATGTTTGGATGAGGGTATCTGACAGAATAGCTCTGTAATAAGATTATAGCAGCAATAAACACGTTCTTTGACATGGTTTCTGAAGACCTTGGGAGTTGTAGCCCATCTTGCTCTGCTGTTTACTGAACTTAAAATACACTTTCTGTCTTTTCTAGCAGGCTCATCTTGCATCAGAGCATGACAGAGAGCAGTCAGATGCCAGGCAGTGATTTGCCATTGCCTTATTCCAGAATTTGGATGAGGCACATTCCCATGTGATGTTCACACCTGGATTTTTGACTTGACAAGTTGGTTTAAACCTTACTGATTTCAGATTTTCAGGGTAAGGAGTGTCTTACTGTAGTCAATATGTGGCCCTTCACTTCCATGGGAATTCTGTTCCCTTCTCTCACTCCATGAGTCACTGCATTTAGAGAAGGCTTCTTTTTCCCCCTTGGAGCTACTCGAAGGTAATGTAGTTCCTCACCTTGCTGCAGGTTCCGGGCTAGCACTTTGTGGGGCAGCCTGTTTCTCTCTGATTAAGAGTGAGATGTCCTCATCTTGCATTAATCCTGCAGAGCTTCCTAACAGAAAGAGAAGCTACAGCTGACTGGTTTTGCCTATTTTTAGAGTCCTTCTCATCAGTATATTTTACCTCTCTAATCTTTTCACAAGATGCTCCAGGCTGCCTGGGTTGTGCTGTTTGGATGGGTTGGCATATTTAAGGTAAACTGGTGGATGCAGATTTGGTGGGGAGAAAAGTCGTGAAAGAGGTGAATTGATTTGGAGGCTAGTGGGTACGAAATACTTGCACAGCTATGAGATAATCTGAAGGGGAAAAAGCATGTGCTTTCTGTGGACATGTACATATGTATTTGTGCGCACATAGGGCTGATGTCTTTTTGTCAGATTCCCAGTTTTATTTCTGCTGCTTCTGGCAAAGAACCACTAATGGTTTAATAGCTTATCAGCGCCTTTGCGCAGAAACAAAGGTTGGTACTTCCTGATTTTGTATTTCCTTTGCTTTAAATAGGAATTCCCATTCTGATTAACATGAAACCTGGAAACTAAGCTGTCAGACCTATCAGCTTTTTCAGATCAGTGCAGAATTCCTGATTGTGAGCAGCTTGAAGGCAGTCCTGCTGCTTTCCTGCTGTACAACCCCATGGCTCTCCTTGCCTCCTGAAGGAAACTCATGAGAGTGCATGGCCCAGGACAGATAATTGCTGAAGCACCTTGCTGTGAAGTGGCTAGGTTGTGCTGCTCTCCATGCTGGGTTTGGCATGCTTTTTCGGTGATGACAGGCCAAATTCTACCCAGTTATATTCAGCACTTTGCTTCTCTTTCAGGATTGAGGGGTTTGGGAATGTTCTTCACAGGTCTAGGACTTGGAATCGAGTTACTGTGAAAGAAATTCAATATTCAGAAACATGCAGGTCTTCTGGTCGTTCTTTTGTGTTCATGAATTTGTAGAGAAGGACTTGAAAACAAGACAGCTGTGCTGTTGAGGTCCAGAAAGTGTTTGACTGAGCAGCAGTGTAATGGTGTTTAAATAGTCTTAGGGTGTCTGGAAGGACCAACATAGAATTTCTTTGAACATCCAGTGCTGATGGTGCAGTGGGTCGTGGTCCCCCTGCAGCAGTGTCCACCAATTAACTGTTTGTACTAAAATCAGGGACATAATTTAGACTTTTACAAGATACCTAATTTTTTTGCAGTTGGCGTAGTACTTCTTGTCAGATCTGGCATTATTCAGTAGAAAATATCCTTCCCCTTTAAGAACATTATTGTTTTAGCCTTTTTTTTCCCCTCGTTTCTGCCTTTTCCTTTCACTCTTTCTCACCCTTTTCCCTGGTCTCTATGCCTACTCTTTTCTTCCTCCAACACTTCTTTCCCTGCAGTCATTCCACATTCCCATCTCCTGAACCATTACTCCCACGCTCTTTCAGATCACCAAAGCACTCGGCAGTTGTGCTGCTACACTGGGCACTGCTCCTTTCTCTGGGACACCCCACTGATGGGAGGGAAGACATTTGCAGTCCCAGGTATGCCTCCCTCTGGTTTAAACTTCAGCTTCCTTTGGCTACTCAGGGCTTTAGGATTGTGCATCGGACATTAGTGATTCTCTCAGTTTTGGCATGCCTAAGTTTTAAAAGGGAGTAGTTGTCAGTTTCCATATGAGCTGCTGATTAAGGAGAGGATTTTTAGCTTTCCTTGTGAGCCTTGATTCTCAACTGTTTATTTTTATCCCTGAAAATGACAAGTTTTTTTCAGGGATGAAATAGATACATTTTTCCCCTGCTACAAATAAATGGATGAGTATGTAGTGCAGGCATTTTGTTGTTGCTGAAGCAAGAACTTGCCTGCTTGTAACATCCTCCTTGTTCTGAGAGCTGAAGAAACAGAATGAGTCTTTTCTGAAGCACTGAAAACTACCTCTTGAACCCCCTCCAGGCTGCAAGACAGTGGGTACAGGGTGCTTATGCAGGTGGCTCTTTTGCAGTATCTGGTGCCTTAATATTTCCTAGAGGCACCAGCTCGCAGTGAGGACTTCCCAAAGCAGGTTGCTGCCTTCTGCTGTAGCCATTTTCTGTCTTTCTAAGCAGGAAAAATGTCAGTGTTCTCTTGTGTCAGT